AAATCAAATAGATTTTGTCCGGTACAAAATATAATTGAAAGCCCGATGACAGGTTTTCCCTTGGCGGCACTCATATAATAACACATAATTTTTTAACACTTCTGGTTAATTCGTATGTAGTCGGAGATCAATTTGTCAAATATGCTAAAGTGGTAAATCCACGAAATGATATGGTCAGCAGAGAAGTTTTGCGCCACAAAGAATTCGAAGACGTAGTTCAACTTACACGAATACGTGATCATTTTATTTGTAACTATTCCGATAAATTATTATTTTTCGTTGTTTTATGTTTTAGTCATGAATAATTATTTTCTAACTTGATTAACTTTTAATATTTATATAGTTAACGTTGAATCTACTGGCATTATGGATTCTGAAAAGATTTTTATTGATTCTGTGCATATTCTACAAGCGAAATGTAAGCGGCTTTTAGCCGCATTAGAACATAAATTGAGAGAACAAGAAAGAGATCGCGATCAGATGGATATGTACTAATGCGAAATACCGAAATATGCAGAGACACATAGTTATAAATGTATCCATTGATTATAGCCATACGATGGTTTTAGGTTTTTCTTCCTTTTGGATATACTTAGATTTTACGTTAGGTTGAGTTGTAATCTTTTTTCGCACTATACTAGATTTTTGTGATTGTTCTTTGATCAAATAATTAAAATAAATTCAGCAATAATTGTTGCGATTAATGTGTATAAACATACTTAATATATCACCTGCATCGTCAATATTTTCACCGCGTTTCAGTCTTTCAATCATATCCTCAAGTTTCGAAACTTTAAAATCCATTTTTTCCTTGTATTCTCGATATTCGTTTTTTGTCCATAGCAGATGTATAGCTGCGGATCCAAAAGTTGCCCATACCGCATATTGGTAAAGAAATGGTTTGTACATGGATTGAATCAAAGTTTTTTTTTAATGTTCTATTTGCATGTCGATCAGGCCAGCAAAAAATATATGCTTACAAACATTATGTAAGATAATAAATCCATAAAAAGGCAGATTGACAATTTACAACCGAGATATAGTCGAATTAGGTAAGCCATATGCATTCTAAATGAATAATTGAACGTTGTGTTTCTTATTTAAGCGTTTTTATCAAGCCAAAAAGTGAATATAGGTTTTACATATGTTTATTAAATTTTACACAAAATTTTAAATCAACAAAATTTAATCTACCGGAATTAAATTTTATATTATTTTATATATATATATTTAAAATAATACAAAATATTAACTATCTCATAATCTAATAATTGGAATTTGATGATTTTGGGCTATTAAAATCCTATAATTGAGACAAATATTTTGATGGTAAAATCATCCAAAACGGACCAGTATATCGTGAAATATTTAATATTTAATATAGTATTAATATATATCTAATATATAATACATATAACTATACATGCCGTACAAATTAAAATCCTACCCAAACCCAAATCCCATGTGGAAAAATCCCAAATTCCAAACCAGACAAACCTATTTGGGCTGTCATAATCTCCAAATCTGGCGAAATTCAAACTTCATCCCAAATCTCAAATTCCAATATTCCAAATTTCAAGTTTTCAAATAAAAAATCTTAATCCAAATTTTATACTAGAAAGTATCTTGTATAAAATATTTAACATATTGTTATTTCATGTAAAATTATAGTTATATTATATAATATTATGCAAGTTATCTAAAATAGCATTTTAGAATATTATAATATTTATTTTATACAAATTGTGTAAAAACATATTGCAGATAAGGTAAAATCATTATATTGTGCAAGATACGTATATATAATACAGTATGTATAGGCTTTTAATATACAGTATTATTATTGTAATAACAATACAGGTGACCCCCGTTAATATCAACCTCGTTAATATCAACATTTCGTTAATATCAACATAAACTCATAGGAAGACTTTCGTATGATTGGCAGTTTAAATCAATTTAATTACATTATTTATACAGTTTAAAGTACTTTTTAAAAAAAAACAAAACTACTCAGAATAAACAAAAAAGAAGTATATA